GGTTCTGTGCTCCCCCGGTTTATCAGAATGATCGAAACGAGTTTTAAAAATTGTTTAATGTATCTTTTATTCAACTGTTAATGTTGCTCAATTGCATACTTTCCGCTTACAGGGCCCCTGGTGGGATGGCTCGCGAGTCGCATCGCAGTCTGGAAACTGACTGTGTCCGCGTGCCTGGTGGGATCCCTGGGTGTCGCCGCTTGTTTCTTGTCCAACGGGATCTGGTTCCTAATTGTGTCCATAGGAATCGTGCACGGTGGGTTTGGGACACCTGATGTTCCTATGAAAACACTGTCATTTCAATGTTTCCATAATTATCGAACTTATATCATGTAGTAGATGTGGCGAACGTGATTTATCTTCTGGCGCAGCCGTTGCGTTACTGCCAAGCTGAGCTGCCTCAGCCTTGATGAAAACGTGTACCGTTGGATAGAAAATTACCTCTATGGGAGAAAGCAGTATGTCGTCGTAAATGGTTCAAGCTCAGACTTTGTTGATGTGACTTTTGGCGGGCCGCAGGGGTCACTGCTGGGACCTCTTTTATTTCTTGTGTTTATTGATGATGTATCATCGACCATTAACTCGTCCATAAAGCTGTTTGCGGACGATTGTGCTTTGTATAGCAAGGTTGACAGTGTTACGCGCGAGACCTATGGACGGCAGAATCGTCCTATCCGACGTCCGATCCGACAGTCCGAACGCCGCTCCGAATCGCCGCACGCGACAGTTTGAGACACACGCTTCCGACCTTTCATGCGACACGACGATCCGTTCGACTCCGCCCAGGAGATCCAAGCACTTCAGCGGAGGTTCGCGTACACAGATCTCTGGCCCCAGATTGACGGTTACACGCTCACACGAGCGAAGTTAGAAGCTCGTTCTCGTTAGCGTGTGCATTCTTTGCCGGGGCCATCTTTCTCGAATGGGTCAGCGGGATGCACGCGTCCGGCTCCGCGTCGCCCGTCCCGTTTTCTTGTTCGTCCCGACAGACCCAGTACGGCATCATGACGTTCGCGCTAGCTGTGCTGTCATTGGCAGGGCGCATCCGACAATCCGTCCGCCGTGCGAAACTATCTATCGCGTTGCACGCACGTCGGATCGCCGATCCGACGTCTGAAGCGACCAAATTTTTTCGGATCAGGCAGTCGTATTGCCGGATCGGACGTCGGATCGGATGGATTTTTCGCCCATGTGTCTCGCGCTTTAGGGATTCGTCTTTTTTTACAGTTGGTTCTGGATAGAATATCGGATTGGTGCAGGATTTGGGAGTTAGGCTTGAATGCGGATAAGTGTGCGCAAGTGATTTTTGGGTGGAAACGTAACCCTGTCCCATCATGTTATTTTATTGATCACCATAAATTAATGATAACACTGCATTTAAATATTCGGGGATTACCTTGTAAAGCACACTTTTTTTAATGTTCATGTCACTGAAACTGCGAAAAGGCTAGCCTAACTTTAAATTTTCTTATTCAAAATTGGCGGGGTACTCCACAGAAACTAAGGGAGACAACCTACTGCTGTTTGGTTACACCAACCTTGGAGTACGCATGTGTTTTGTGGGATCCGCACCAAAAGTACCTCGTAGGTAAGTTAGATAAACTTCAAAACCGTGCGGCGAGATTTGTAACAGGAAATTATTGCAGAAACAATAGCGTAACAGATAATAAAAAATGTACTTGGTTGGGAAAATCTATTGTTAAGACGCAAAGATTTTCGATTGAGGTTCCTGCTTGCCAATTTTAACGATTTAACAGGTATTGATAAAAGCAAATACATAGAATTACCTAGCTATATTTCAAATCGTGTGGATCATTCCAGAAAGATAGAGGAAATGTTTTGTAAAAAGAATAGATTATAAGAATTTTTCATTTTTCCCACACAATCGCTCAGTGGAACCTATTACCCGAGTCTTTTCTTATTTTATTTTATTTTATTTATTTATTGATACTACTATCTCCTTCGGGAGATGTGGTAGGAGGGGGTACATAATGTTGTATAAAGGCATACATTTCTAGTAATTTTAGCACACGCGAATAAGGCAATCAATGTCATCATTATACAGTATTGAATAAAAATTAGAGCAAAAAAAAACAACGACAAAACAACCTACAAGAAATACCGTCAATCGCAGGAGTTACAGAAACTGCGAAGGTTAGCAATGAGGGATGACTCAGATGAAGCATTTATTATATGACTGGGTAGGGCATTCCAATCATGAATGGTCCTTGGGAAAAATGAGAACTTAAATACATCGACCCTACAGCTGTATTCTTGTAATGATCTACAATGAAGACGTGGGATTATTTACCTCAGAAAAGGGTCTTGATATTTAATGTTGTTGTTTATTTTTATTGTTTGTGTATTCTCTTTCTTGGCAGCCGAGGCTGTATAGTCAAGTGTTCTGTATTTTTAGTTCTTTATTGAGCGTCTGCGGGCTGTACCTGGTATAGACCTTTTCATTTCAGTAGTTGCCTGACCGGCGGGTAGAGGGCGCTGACACACTCGGCGCCATTAGGTTGCTTCAATTTGGTCGGTTTCGGTTTAAACGTACACGCGGCTGTGATGTTGTTTCATGCCACTTTCGATTAGTTTTGCGATATGAATTTCTTTCTAGTAGCACACAGCGAATGAAACAATAGTATTGAGCCACTTGGCAAACCACGAAGTGGTTTCGAGCCTAAATTGCGATCTTTTTTTTACTAACACTATATGCGTCTGATTCCGTCCATCATTTATTTCGGTCAGGTTCGGCGGTGAAACAACTGCGCTGATGCACAGGGAGGATTACCATTGTCCACGGCCGTACCCGCGGACACTAAATTTAAGTAGAAAAAAAAAATAAAAAAAATAAAGAGCAGGACAAGCTCCGCCTGCAGCGTGCGCTCGTTGCCCGCCGCCGTGCTTTGGCTGTGCGTGCACCGAGCGGTACGGAAGTAGCTAGCTCGCGCTCAAGTCATATATTGAACTGATCATCTTATATTGCAACAGACTATATTGCATGAGTGCTTAGTGAAAAATCAAGTCGACAACATGATTAACAATCTGCTGAATCACCAAGAACAGATGAACTGACAAGTTTACTGTTCGATGTTTGGTTTGCGTACACCAACCTTTTCTAACTTCGAGACTGGAAACGTCTTTTATAATGACTAGAAAAGTTTAATATAATCACGTAGATAATATAAAAAAGTGATATTGTCTCAGCCTGTTTTATTTAAAGAAATTGAGCGCTCGAGAAATATTTTGATGGACCAGCCTAGGCTGACTAGAAATTTTTTTTAACTAAAGTACTCATTTACAGCATTTCAAAATATTGGCCTTATGAAATAAACGTTTTGTTATGTGGACATTTGCTTACAACGTTCTCAAGGTATGAGAATGGTAAGATAAGTGAATGCCAGACTTCAAATAAAGTCTGATATCCATCTTCCATAAAATTTGCCGAATGAAATTTAAGAGCGCAAAAGAAATGATCTCCGATATGTTTGGCTGAAGTCGAACGCCAGGCGCCACCCAATGGACCTGTGTAGAAAGCTGTTCACTGATTTGAAACGATGCGCTTTGCACATTTTGACGTCGCCATCTACTGAAAGTAACTCCCTATTCGAAGTCGACAACCGGCTGCACTCGGGTGATTTTGATGCAGAAGGATTCTTTTCGGCGTCACATTTTATGAATCATAGGCACTATCAAGCTGTCTGTGGCAGTTTCTTACGCGGGGAGTTCAAATATTTGTGTTGAAATAAATTAATTTAAACTGCATGGTTATATTAAAAAATGACTTAAGCAACTGAAAGACTATGGACATGGGACCAAGGACGATATACAATTCCGTGGAATTCATAAATAAACCGATAAAGCGAATGCTTATATCGCACACGCGATTAAGAACGTAAAACAGATATAGGTGTGATATTGCGAACAAACAAGTTGCCTAATGTTGGGGTACCATTATTTCTAGCATAAAAAATAATTCAAAATAAATGTTTGTTCCCGCGCCTTGTCCACTAGTTCCATAGTGTAATCAAAAGAAACTGTTTTCGATCTGTTGGAACTACAAAACACCATGTTTTCAGGAAAAACACGTAGCTAATTACGCGGAGTGTTTTTGTTTTCTTCCTTGACACCAATGCGCACTCATATATATGATAACATTGGGCTTCCTATTGCAAATGTTCCGCCCTTATTAGTAACCAAACTTGAGTCCTCATAAGTTATTGGTATTTGAACCCTCGAGGCTCTCTTCAAGTCATATATGTATTCAATGTGCGCAAGTGCTAACGCTGATTCCTGTTCCTATAAAACTTTTTCACACGTATCCCGCATGCCGACGGTAAAAAAATATTCAAAACGTGTTACAAAATCAACTACAGAAGTTGTGCGGATAATGATGTAATGCAATTGCATGGTAAGTATAAGTATCGGACGACACTTTACGGAGTAAGGCAAGAGACGTGGTGAAACGCGACGAAAAACACGAATTCAACGCATCCGCCAAGGCGCGGACGGGAGAGCGGAGCAACAAGTTGAAGCAACCTAATGGCGGCCACATCACGTGATTCCAAGATGGCAGCGCCCATGCGGTGGAGGGTGAAAAGGTCTATAATGCCGAAGTTTCGACGCTGCAGGTTTTCTTTTGTAAATAAATAGATACATGAAGGTGCGCCACTAAGCGTTTTAGAATATTTCACAAAAACGCAACTATGTGAGGACGTACGTTTCTTTTGATATCAACCCAAGTAAAATATTCAGATTCCTGCGAGCGGAAAAACAAGAAAATGGAAAAGAAAGAGAGAGAGAGAGATAGAGAGAGAGACAACTTTCAACAGTTTCTTTAAAACAAAAATATGTGGAAAGGCGTTCATTCAACATAAGTTCTTCGGACAAATGTTTTCTAAGATACGAGAATTTTAGATAATAATGTAAAACAACTAGTCAGTAGACTTAAGCTAAGCAGCTTTTTGATCCTGTGATTTCATTTTATTATAGGTATCAGCATGACCTTCAGTATTCTTTGCAACACAGTCATCAGAGACCACTTCACCCGTAAAAGGGCGCTCGCCTGTGGCATAAGCTATGCAGGAGAAACCCTTTCTGGCCTGGTTTTTCCGCCACTTGTACAGTTCCTTCTCGAGAAATACGGCCAAAAAGGAATGTTCCTGGTGACCGGAGCCTTGATGCTGAACTCCACTGCAGGAGCGCTGTTGCACCTCCTTCCACCGGAAACGGCCCGCAAACCCGCATCTATCCTCGAGGATGGCAAGAAGCGCGAGATGTCTTTCGATAAGGCGTGTTCACATAAAAGCGGTCTTCGAGACAGCACTGATGATTCTACGGGGCGTGCGTTGTCCCCCGAAGACGATGGTTTTTTGACACAAGATGATGTTTCTGACAAACGCAAGACAATTCAGGGAGTGCGGGATCATCTAAATCTTCCGCAGGCTATGTTGTCAGAGTCTCAGACAACAGAAGATCCGCACAATAAGAAGCAAAAAGAATGCTCCAACAAAACGTGCGTGAGTTCATACAAGGAGCATGATGACGTGCTCGATGTACACAATGAGACGGCAGCCTACGGTCTCAAGACTTCCATCAATCGAAACAAGATCACCTCGCCATCGCATCTCAGATGTCCTCAGTTCTACATCGTCGCTGTGGCGTTTTCGGTCATTGCTTTTAACGTATCCACGTACTCAACAGTAGTCGTAGACTTTGCAACCGATCGGAAGATCTACAAATGGAACGCCGTCTTGCTTCTCACAATCTACGCGATCTCCGACTTGTTGTCCAGGATGGGATCAGGTTTCATCACGGACAAGGGATTCCTCAAGAAGAGCTCGATGATGGCCGGCAATTTTCTCCTCTGGGCATTATCTCTGTGTGCAATGCCTTTCTGCTACTCGTTTTACCTTCATGCCATTCAAGCGGTCATCGTTGGGTTGTGCAGCGGTGCTACACTTATTCTGATTCCAGTGTTCCTCATGGAGCTTGTGAACACCAACAAGTTCAGCGAGTGTTTCGGATTAGCGACTTTGATCGCAGGAATCGCACTTCTCCCGAGGCCACTGCTGATTGGTAAACGTTCTTTGTTGATTCATGTATAGTGCCTGGAACGCGTCTTCCACTGGTGTGTTTATCACCTGCTCCCCATTCCGGTCCCTCGATGTTCGGCTGATGACGTCACAGAAGTGCCATGTTGTCGCCGGTCGCGATCCTGGCATCCTCATAGCACCGGTAGCGGACGTACATGGCAGATGTCTTTCTACTTCAGGTCGCTCCCCAGCTTCACAGTCCACTGAAGCTTCAGCAACCAAGGGTTGGGACTTTGCGATGACAGTGACACTCTCGTTCGCTCATTCTTTCTACCGAGACTTTAACCCCAACCATCAGGATCGCGACATCCGACAACATGACACGCCGGCTTCTGTAACGTCATTTGTTGTCACTTTGGGACTACTTGTGATGTATGGAGGAGTATGACGCTATACGCATCACTCAAAAACGCTTTCCGGGAGCCATAGTTAATCACATACTTGCACTTGAGTGTGTCTGAGTGCTTTAGGTTTGCCTTTAACCACTTCAAAAAAGCGCATTGTCAGACTTGCACCTCCTATGAAAGCCCTGGAACTTTTTACATCTGCGTATATATTTTTACAATATTTTTACGGATTATCCTCTTATGGGCTTGAAATGTTCCTGACAATTTTAAAGCGACCATTTCTGTTAGGTGTTCAACAGGTTTGATGTCGGAACTACTGCAAACGCCTTCAATTTAGGGATGCGGAGGTGGAATGCGTTTTGGGGCCCCCTAATAGATAGCGCCAGTGTGCCACTGTGGTTGTTTGACTGTGCCACTGTGGTTGTTTGACCGCAATCAGGTGGCGCAAGCCGCCACCTGATTAAAATGGTTCAGTCGTATTTATCAATCTATTCATAGGTTTCTCGTCCCAACCGGTTACAGAAATAAAGAGAAAAGGCAACGCAAATGAGCACACTCACGCGCAAATCTGCGAACCAGCATGGAGTTTTCTTAGCTTTAATGTTCTTTACGACATGTATCCATCCAAGTGCTTCTGTCTTTATTATTCTTGTATACGTTATTACATGAAATATTCCGGGGGCCCCTGCTAGTGTGAAATCTAAGCCTTACAGTCCACGTTCAAACTGCACTCGATAGCAGCTCAAGTTTGTGGGAGATTGAATTTCCTTGACTAAGTACTGCCACCAACAAATTATAAATAGGATTTCGTGTTTTCAGTAAATACAAATAAACCCTAATAAGCACCAGAAACCCCCTAAAATGGTTTCCTCGGAAACAAAAAAAAAAACACAAAAAAAAACACATTTCCTCCCTTTGATTCGGAAGAAATCGAAAGGGTTTGGGAAAAAAACATTTCTATGTGTTACACCTTTTTTTTTTTTTTTTTTGTAAGTTTGAGCACAATTTGTTTTAACTCTCCTTGAGGTTGTTTCTTTCTTTGGGAACCAGACCCCATGACTTCTGTTCTCGGTAACGGGATGACGTTTTTCAAGTGTTTGGGTCACGGGCGTAAGTTTAATGAACCGGAAGAATTGAGGACACCGCCCGGGGGGGGGGGGGGGGGGGGGAGGGGTCGGTGTTAGAAATTTACAGATATGCAGTGTTGTTTCATAACATATTCCCCGATTTCTTGCCTGGCACTGAAGACCGCCACCGAGAAACACTAATTATGAAAACAAAAATAACCCCCGAAGAAACGCCACCGAAATTAAAGAATAATAAGCTCCGACTACACGGAACTCTATTTATAAAGGACTAGCGTAGTAGGACGGCCTATACATGTAAGTAAATTTGAATTTGTATTAGTGACAGCCTTTGAGTGTTTTTACAGACGGAAAAATATATTCATATAACGCTTAGACGCCTGAACAAGTGTACTCTTTTTGCACCCTTCAACGGTCAAGAAGCAGCCAGATTAGCGTTTCTTCTGTCTAAATGTTCACACAATTAATACCTACTTTTTTTTTCTTTCTTGCAGGCTACTTCAGAGACAGTCTGGGAGACTATCAAGGATTATTTGTTCTCATGGGTGTGGTCACTGCGCTCAGTGCCTTCAGCTGCCTTTTTCTGCGAGGGACCCATTGAAAGAGAGCGAACATTTGTTTCAAAACTAATAGCGCGTATTGTGACGGAAAAAGAGTCACAAAAACGAGTACCTAGGACAGTAACCAAGAATGGTTGGACGTGAAAGCATCGGCGAATGCCGCCACTGCAGTAAATTGCCAAGAAAAAAAGGCCGTTTTGAACTATCAACCAAGCTCCGTGACTGCCATAACGTAACACCGCAATAAAAAAAGTCAGGGCACTTACGCAACCCGTAAAGTGACACATTGCGATAGCTTAGGTGTAATGTCAGAGCCTCTGAAGTGTCATTTCGGAGCAGATGAACGGAATGAACGGTACAGATGCAAGCGCGCACCATAAGGCCGCATAGGCCCGTTTTGTATTCAACCGAATAACACATCGGACGAAAATTTGACATCGTTGTTGAACCCATCAGGGTGCATTAGGTAGAGGGTATTTCGTGAACCTGTTAATCAAGTTTATTGGACACAAAGCTAGGACCGTCTGTGGCAATTGAAGAACCCTTCGAGAATCGCGCACCCAAGTTGGAAATTCAAAGAACGACGAAACTGCCTGTGTATGCATGAAATGTTCCCTGCAGTTGGTGTGACTTCCCCAACGTTTTATGCAATGCTAAAGGACAAAAACTAACACCGCCTTGTGGTCACTGAAGAACACTTCGAAAATCGCGCTCTCGAGTTCAAGCGTGTAGCTTCACCTCCCTTCACGCCCGTGGTTTCACCGGCTTTACACCCACCTAGCTTAATTGGTTTTATCGCCCGAGAACCTTCCTTTCATAATTATCGAAAACGCTTTGTTTTATCCTTCCCATTATCAACAGTCTCAGGTTTATGTTTCCACGAGCCGTCACGGTGTCACGTGGTGACTTATTGTCACGTGACGTCTAAATTTCACGTGACGCCATGACATCACGTGACTCACGGTGTCACCTGACGTCATTAAGTCGCGTGGCGGCACTGTGTGCAACGTGACTTGACATGACAATGTCACGTCGATGGTGGCAGCTGATGCCAGCTAACAGGTGACGTGATGCGCGCCGTGACGTCAGAGTCGTGTCGAGCGGCGTGATGTCAATATGAAATCTTTTGGCGGAGTGCCGTAAACGGTCCACGTCGAAGTGTCCCCACTAACTGCCACCTCAGTAAAAAAAACTACAAGTTCTTGTCTAACCCACATAATAACACTGGAAACATGGCAAAATATTACGGTTTTCAAGATGATGTATGTTCAGGAACTCTGTCCGGTTCCCTTAGATTTGCTGTAATTTTTATGACTGTCCATATAGGTACCATAGATTTCCATTTTCAAAATACCAATAATAACAGAATGAACTACATCGACACTGAGAAGCTTTAAACGCGACAGCATTTCTATCAGCCGCCCCGCCCCTCGCCCCCCCCCCCCCCCCCCCCCCCACCCCCTTAAAAAAACTCTGCACTGTTGCACGAAACGGGCACTCATGCGCGGAGGAGGAGTTTAAATCAAAACATTGCGCTGAATTGAGTGCTGGAAAAGCTCATAGTATTATATTTAACACACTCGATGTACTTTTTTCTTGGGGTAAGTTTAATAAAACGCCGCTAGAGGTCCCCTGGATGTTTTTGAAAGACGGCCTCGTCCTGCAGCGGATGGCGCAGCACACCGCCTGGAACTCTGCCCTCCGGCAAAGGTAAGAGCTCGTTTATCTCTGTCAATGGCAGAGTTTATACAGTCCTTCCTCGATTGTATCATCGCGGGATTTACCTCTTGGTGACACCTAAGGCCTGTAGGCGCAATGGTAGTGTCTCGAATTTGGGCGTAGTATTTTAAATGCACTGGACTCTACCTGAGCCTTTCTTACTTGTATCACTTATGGTATACGTTTGTATTGTTAGTGTCAAAATCGTTTTTGATCCCGATAATTCTATATTATTCTCAGATGTCACTGCAGGGGATATTCTTAAATGTGTCACCACTGGCGAAGATGTGAGCAACTTCGGCGACCTGTTGAAAAAATGATGGCGAGGATTGGAACGCCAACTTTGTTGAACACGAGGACATGGGTGATGAAGTTGAGTTGGATGATTGCGGCGGCTTCTCCATCGCATCATCTTCACTAAACGATATTATTGAGAAAATAGATATGCTCAAAACCACCCACTCGGATTTGCCAACAACGTTATGTGAGTCAGACGATCTGGAAACTCCAGTAACGCACGTCAAAAGGGTTCTCTTGGACGAAATGCTAAGGACCATACTGAAGCGTGCAAACCTCTACTGCACGCAGAACTATGGAACATCAGTGAACACCGCTGCTCTGGAACTTTAGCGATATGACGGCCTCGCGAAAATTAAGTTTCGTTAGACTAAGCTGACTTTGCCCTCGTATATCTGAGGTGAGACCCACGCAGGTATCGCGCGGATAGCCCAAAATGAGATATAAAGCACGGTTTGCTTAATCGTCTCATTTATTTTTTCTTTGCGCGTTAGCAATCGAAGTAACGCGTTATGGACTCCTCGACAAGCTGGATCCTGGCTGCAGGATTCTGCTGGGCCAATGCCTTCGCCTACGGAGTCTTCCGGTCTTCTGCTATCGTATTCACAGCACTCATACAGTCGCTCAACATCACCAGGGAAGAGGCATCGTGGCCTCTTACGGTAATGGGCATATTCATCTCTGTCTCAGGTCAGCTGCACGCAAATCCTCATTATCAGGATGCCGACAGTTTTGTTCCTTATATATACCGAGTTCCTGGGTGTTGTCCTTCAGTTGACAATTTCAAAACCCTCCCACACAAGACTGGTGGTCGCCATTTCTTGGGAAAGGCGTTTGTAATTGTATCTCGGTGCTCGCCGTAGGCTGTGGCAGCCCCCGTTTTAGATAAAGAGCTGAACCGAATTCACGCCAGACGCCTACTCAATCCGTTTCTCTGATACACGTTTAAACTATACGTGCCCAAACGATGGCAGGCTCGAATAGTTAACACAGCAGCGTCTGGACGGCGCGCACATTAGAGAAGGGTCTATTACTCAACTATTTCCGTGTCCTGCGCAGGCACGAAATTTAGAATCATTACGATTCATAGACACGGCAGTTTTTCCCAACGCCAGTTAGGGCTTGGCAAAAAAGATGCTTCAGGATCCATTTTTCAATAGACTCTTTACATACGCCCCAGATTACAACCACCCAAAGGTTTCCCCAGGAATTGAAATAAGGGGGGTGTCTAAATTGCTAGGGGGTGGTTAGGGGGGGGGGGGGGCATTGAGAATAGAGGAGTTATGAATTAAGGGGGTGCCTTCGGAAAAAGAAGGGGAGGAGTACACCCCCGTAGTGGGTGGGAGATGAAGGGAAATCACTGCCACCGCCAGCGATGACCTTCTCTTGTCTTACCGAAATACCGAGCCACTGACACGGACGTTTACGAGCTTCGACAAAGGCCAATGCTGGGGACAAGGGCACAGTTGAATCCGGAACGAAATAACCTGGCGAGCTATGGTGGTGATGAAGGGAAGTAAAATAAATAAAAGGAAAACAAAAATTGAAGGTCGGTTATGGCGGCTGCTTAAAAGAGTCTATGCGCCGAGAAACTGAGAGAGAGGAGAAGAGGGAGAGAGGCGCGGGGACGTAGGAACGCCGAGCTCTAGTTCGAATGATTAGTGGGTAGACCTAAAGCTATCTGTTTTTTTCACCACTGCACTCGTCGAAAGCGTTCGAATGCGACAGCCCATAGCCTCATATACACTGACAAAACCTGGCAGATCGTCACAAGAAGCGGCCGCCGATATGGAACAGGTGTAGCTGCAGACAGCGGATGAGAAAAGAGCCCCGTGACTGGCTCCCCGCTGCGGCGAGACGCCGAAACACACCTCTCCCGAGCGAACAAGTGTGTTTTGGGTCCTCGCCGCTGCAAATGCTGTGCGCTGACGTCCAGGTTCCCCGAGAAATGGCTCTTTGACGATCTGTGCTCCAAGATGCTGGCGCTCCTCATCTGCGACAGGGCACTCTTTGGCTCTGTCGTCGAACTCCCAGGCTTTGTGAGTATAGAAGAGGCTATGGACAGTCAAACGCCGGACGCCGGCGTTCCGTTCCCGCTTTAACGCGTTTGACGAGTGCAGTGGATACAAAGGCAGCCAGCTTTAGGTCTACCCCCTAATCATTCCAACCAGACCTCGGCGTTTTGACGTGCCAGCGCTCTCTCGTCTCCTTCTCTCCGTCGATTTCGCCGGCGCGCAGTCCCATTCTTCCATTTTATTGCCGATGTACGTACATAGTCTGCCGCGAGTAATTCCTGCATCTGACTAATATTCACTAAAAATTTCAAATCGCATTAATGAAACGATTTTAATCGACTCCAGTCGACGCTACATATCCAATGAAGTTTCAAGCAGCTTCAAACGTTCATCGCTACGGCGCTCTTTTTTTTTTTCGGTTTCCTATTACTGGATAAATTAATCACGCATAAAAATAGATCGCAGGATCGTGAATAATTTACCGTGCGTAATTGGTCTAGCCGGGATAGCTAACGCACAAAAACGACGAGCGTCCCGACACTTTTGGGCGCCGCTTGATCGCTCCGATAGGGTCGTAGCCGCGACTGCACTCGAATTTAGAGCGAAACGAAATATACACCAACACAGTGTTCACAAACAAGTCCGCTCTGCCCACGCGAGGTGTGGGTACTGCGCGTGCGCAGAAACTAAACTCGGGAGGAGTGAAGCGTCTGCGCATGCGCAGTACCGACAGCAGCGCCGCCGCAGCCGCGTGAGTGAGTGAGTTGAATTGGTCCATAGACGCTTTTTGCTTCCTGTCGTTCTCAGTCACGAGGGTTCCGCATCAGATATTAACATATTAAGGTATTTAGCGCACAAAGTAGAAAGAAGAAGGACAGGACAGAAAAGAGCGCTACTCACAACTACGTTTATGATAAAAAGGGAAGAGAAAGAAAACACCTAAATAATCCGCCGCGGACTCGTGCACCTGCCACAGCCCCGTGAATGATAGCGGCTGGTTCATCCAGGCT